CTAGGGTGGTTCTTTATTTTTTATTTTTTTGTACTTCGATATGAATGCACTTGCTAGCTTCATTAACAGTTCTTTGTACACCTGTTTTTTGTTTGACTCTAATTAATCTTGTTATAAAATGTTTTTCCAATTTATTACAAGCTTTCAGTTCCACTTTTGTTGATTTATATAAAAATAATTTATGATTACATAATTTATAGTTTCCAATTAATTACTATTCGCCACACTGATTCATATCTAATAAATGCTGATAACTTATTAAAGATTTGTTTTTGTGCTTTAAGCCACGATAATCTTTGTCTAAGCATTTCCTCCTACCAAAGCTATGTACGTTAGCTGCACCCATAATTCTGCGATTTGAAAGAATGAACAACAACTGCTCCTACAGAAACCGCAGGCTTACATATGGTATTATATATATATATATATATGTACGTTTGTTTGTATGCATTTACACATATATATTGTAGATATTTCTGTACAACATAAGCCATTTGAAGGTCAAATCGCTTAGGAGTCAGCAAAAGACTTTGGCTGCCGAACTGAAATAAAGCGTATAAGATATACATATGTGTTTGTGTGGGTTTGTTGAAATGCTTCATTAATATACATATATTTTTAATTATATAACTTAATTATCATCATTTTCAATATGTTCATAACATTATTTGCATACATACATATATACATTTAATTATTTCCATTTCAGTATCACTGCTGTGGTCTCTACAATGCCAATGACTATAAGTACAGACGTATGGAGACGCCCGCGAGTTGTTATCGCTACCAAAATGCTACGCTTGAATCGAATTTATTTTCGCGCGGCTGTGTGGAAGCACTGGAAACGTCATATCACAAGACCATGGAGCGTGAAAACATTTTCAACTGGTCACTATTAATCTGTGAAGTAAGTAGGGCTTAAACATGAAGAAGAAAATTAATTAAAGACCATAAATATGTAAAAACATATGACCATATTTTCGTATTGTAGTGCGCAGTCTTCCTCTACTCGTGCATACTGAGTATTTTACTCTTCAAGCGCACGCAATCAAGAGATCACACACCCGAGGATGGCCATTTGCCAGCGCAGCCGGTGCAACGCATCAATCATTGTAATTCGCGAACTCACCTATTGTCTAACTAAATAAATGGTAGTAAAACAAATATGAAATGCAAAAGTCTGGTAAAAACTGATTTTTTTTATTCAAATTATATGTATTATATAAAAATTCGAAAATACTGTTATATTCACTAGTACCAACAAATTATAGGTTATCTTAAATTAATTGTAGATACGTTGTATAAACATATACTATATAGGTATGAATAAACTATTTTARTTAAAATATGTTTGTAAATTCACAATATGCGACTGCTTGCACACATCTTCATTTCATGTACGCTAGAATTGTATATATAAATTTTTTTTAATAAAAACTATTTTTCCCACTTAACAAATACTAATATTTACACAAATCAGTATGTTTGTTTATACTATAAGGTTTCATAATCTCCAGTTCGATGGTAAATTAAAGTCAGTATGAATGAGAATATCAAAGCCAACAGCTGGAAAAAAGTTAAAAAATCTTAAAATAAGTAAGAAAAAGTTCGAAAATATTTATATTAGGCATATGGAGGCCAAGGGAAGTATTGATACGATTTTATCATTTTGGAGCAGGACAGCATGCGCTATTACAAAAATTCTCTCCAAATTTCCATACTAGCACTCATAGATTGACCGATATGTTTGACCAAAATATCAGTCCGTTCCCACGACAGTCGGGTCAACATAACCGAAATGGACCCGGATTTTTATCCGGCCGAGAACTGTCAAATTGGCAGAATTCTGCCGCTACAAAGGCAACAGCAACATAAAAAAAATAAGTCAAATGCACAGGGGTCCAGATATTTKGGTGGGCCATTGAAAAGTTATAGTCCCATTTCGACCATTTTTGGGCAAAGCTTAAAGCACTACTTGTGAAAGTTTTATCCCAATATATTCAATGGTSYTTGATTTGTATACTGRAAGTGAAAGCATCAGATCAGGTTATTATCTTATTTTACCCATTTTCTCAGCGTTTGAAATAATGCAAAATCGACTTGTCTTCAGTAAATTTGATTGAGTTAGTTTTCACGGTTTGGARGARATGTACATTAAACCATTTAGGCGGCGGGAGCACTTCTACTTTTTAAAACATTTTATTCTACAGATGTCTCTTATTTCTGCGATCCCCTGTACTAAATTAGAGTTTTGTATCTAAGTTATTGCTGAGTTATGGCACTTAATAGGTTATCGTTTAATAGCAGAAGTGGCAGAAGTCTAGCAAATGTACATATATATTAATATAGCAAAAAACGTAGGTCACATCTACGRACACTTCTCTACTCCTCCAATCGGATCGTTTTTCTTTAATTCGGCGTCAAATCAGCCCAGTAAKTTGAGCTTCACCAGGTAGTCGGTGTAGATCACACCGTATGAATGACAGAAAACGGTGACCATTTTCTTCCCAGCCCATGTCATAGTCTTTTTAATTTTAGATCAATAAAAAGACTCAGTTTGCTGACCTTCCAATTTTTTTGTACTAAGTTCGCGTGCATTGTACTTTGATTTTGATAACAGCTGTCTACAGTATCTTTGTAAAGCTTATGCGGTTCAACGCTCCATCTACTCATTGGAGGGCTCTCGATTGTCGACCCTGTCGAAAAGATTAAGTACTTAGGCCTCATCATTGATAGAAATCTCTCATGAAACCGAAAGTTGAAGAGAGGATGACGAAAGCGGTGGTTAAATTGTTGTAAAGAAGCTATTGGAAAGTGGTGGGATCTCTCATCAAAACTTATGCTTTGGCTTTATGAARCCTTAGTGAAGCCAACACTGCTCCACAAGTATGATGTATTTGTCTGGTAAATGTCGACAAATGCATTGCTGCGAAGGTTCCTATCAGACTCCAGAAAACTGGACACATCATGAGGGTCATTCCGAAAACATCTCTCACTTCAACTGCATTCCTGATAACTTGAACCGAAACGGAAGCTACTCCTAATCACATTTCCTCCGCGCACATATCTCTGAGATATAGGCGAAGTCGTTTCAGAAGAAGCGCAATGAGCTTTTTTCACGGATGTATCGAAGCTAAAGGGGAACATTGGAGGAGGAGTCTTTTATAGGAAGCCACCAAGGTAGCAACAGATATACTTCTCCAAAGTGCGGCTTCTTTTAGGAAAGTGTGCATGCACTCCAGTAGCATATCTAATATAAGGGCCTCAAGTTCGCTGAMARTGATATGCATTCTAAATTGGCRCTGTCCCTTTGATCMTAACGCGGTAAKGCTAAAGATTTTGGATGACGCCATTTGTCTATATTGCAAAGAGGAAGATGAGGTAGAAGCAACTAAATATAACCTCCTCTACTTTCAAGCTTCCGACAGACTAAGTTTACCTGCGCCACAGTCAGTGTATATCCAGCGTAGGATAACGCATTGCTTGCTCTCCCAGCAGCAAATTTCACCTTCTCCAAACAGCCTTCATTATAATGGTCCCAGGCGTCGTTCTCGGCATAAAAGCAACTAGCAGGCAGTGGCAAATTTATGGATGTGTAGTCACTAGCATTGTGCAGGCCACAGCAATGAAACTAAACAATTAAAGAAAAACTTAAAGAATACTGACTAAAATTTATAAAAAAAAAAATGTAATAAATAAAATATTTCTGAGTATTTTGTATATTTGAATGTTTGTATAAATTTTATTTCCACCTACCCGACTTTCGATATCAGCCATTGGACCTTCTTCCACCAATTCCCTTTCCCACAGTAACTCTACGGCTTCGACTGTACTCGTGATTATGCTCGTCGCTTCGAGTTGCGTTACTATATACATTTGAGTGACGAATATAATTGTAACCAAGGCACAATACTTAAAAGAAATAAAAAAAGCTGTTCAGTATTCATGTAATTCACATTCCGTTATTTACTTAATATAGAAAAAACCACAATGCAAAGAATGTAAATAAATATAAGATATCGGATGTTCTTTAGTTTGAATGAGTAATCCTAGTTATGTACTTTGATCAGTTGTATGTCAAGCTGAAATTTTTTGTTATCCAAACTATGAAAAATGTTGTAATTAAAAAAATATATTGTTTTGTTWTATTTCTTGTTCATKATTATAGCCTGACATTTWYGATGGCATCTTGCTATGAAATTTTCCGCATATTCCACAGGAAGCGACCTCCAGGTATGTTGAAGTATTTAAATCTTTTTAAATCCCAGAAGTTCCCTATTGCATTGGCGTCTGTTGACTTTGATGGCCAATATGAAGTAACAATATAGTTTTCTTGTTACCCTTGAACACCGAATCTGCTCTTATATTTCGGATCACTGTCTTCTTGCAGCTTCCAAAGATAGTAAACCATTACAGGTGACTTCACTAAAGCCTTTTATACAATTTTATCATTCCAAAAGCATTCAGGTTTTCTGTGACGCACCTCAAAACATCAAATCCATCTGCAGCGAATCATCTATAAACATGCATATTTAACATAAGTTATTACAGTTCTCATCTGACACCRAAACCCCTTTGCACTCAATCCATTCAAACCGACTCAGTCGGRAACAGTGATGGAAAAAATCCACACGCAATTTGTGGATTAACCTGGTTGCTATAATAACAAGTCCATAGTTCCTCAAATATTAACCTTAAGTATTATCTTGGGAGCTTTTTCACGCGGCTAGATCTGTACCCTAAAAATCTATCGACACATAAGATGAGACAACGTTTCAAAATAGCCTCTACTTTATCTACTACTGGGTCATTTGTTTAAGTTCCTCCTGCTGTTGAGAGACACAACTTTAAAATTAGTAGAAATTTCTGATCTAAGTAAATCTTCACCAGAGCCTCTTGTCCTATCTAGTTCTGTGAGATTTAGAGCTTTCTGTATTCTGTAAAATGTGTATGTAGCATTAATATGTGTACATATATAATTTTGACTGACAAGTAATAATTATCTGTTTGGATGAATTTAAATCTGATTTTTTTTTATATTATATATACAATAACTAGTAATACTATTAAAATCATTTTGAAATTATRAAACAACTGTCTAACTTTAAGATTCCACACACCTTTAGGGTCGCATGATCGAAAAATAATAAGACTTGGTTCATAATTTTMAAATTCTTMATTTATTATTTAAAAACTATGAAACGACATAGATCAAAGTATCAATCTTCKAAACAGTTGTTAAAGTGAATTTTTGGAATACCTTTCAATGTTCGTAGCAAAGCCATAATTCACACAATGCTAAATCAGTCAAATACGTTGAYTGTGGCTCGATATTTGTTGAAAATTTAGCAAAAAGCACATAAAGAATCAATGCAGAATGCGACGGTACATTATCGTGGTGCAAAAACCAAGAACCGGCCTCTTCCGGCCTCTTTTTGTGAATAGCGTGGAACAAACGACGCATAATACCCAAATAGTATTCCTTGTTGACAGTTTACACGGTCAGAAAGAATTCGGAGTACACCACGCCTYGAAAATCGATCGAAACTGTCAACATAACATTTTTTTTTTTAACCTGCTTTGACATAGCTTTTTCGGCATAGTTGGAAAACATGTTTCAAAGACTGTTTTTCGAAAAGTTTGACTTATTCTTAGGCTCATTATTATTGATCTTTCAAAATGTATGTCACTGATTCTTCAAATATTCCAAAGATGACAGTTAGATCTCTGATTGTTAATCGCCAGATTCTCAAGCATCAATTTTATTGACGCGCTTGAATCAGTTSATGTTGATGGCCGTAGTGTACGTGGTTCGTTGTCAATGCGTTTTCAAACCTCTTTGAATARTTTATAACAAAAGGACAAACAATTATCACCAAAAATCTTTTCCAACATTCTAAACGTTTCGGTACCACAAATTGGATTCCATACAAAAARTTTAAAGGAACTACTTTGTTGAATAATTTCACTCATCCTAAAAATCGTAGAATGCTCTTTATKTGCTTATGAGTCACTGACAGTTACTCTAGAGGATCCGAACATCTCTTAGCTCAACATATTTTTTCGATATTAAAGATTTGTATTATAATACTTGAAAACTTTTTTTGTCTGTCCGAGTCATACTGAATCAGATAGTAATATAAATTCTCTCCTTGACTAATCTCTTCGGAGACTTTACTTTAAAGTTCTATAATAATGGGCATAGATTATGATTATTCACTTCCTTTCCATAAATAATGTCCCATTTAACTCCTGCTAATTATCTTCTGAATACTAAAGTATGCTAAGGTTTTATTTATCATTTCTCGAGCCGAACACAACCTTGGTAAATCCTTTATCTGTGAATATTTTTACCGTCATTCTGAATATACCGTTAAATCACAACACTTTTGAGATAAGATTTCTACTCATCACTGTAGTAACTATAACAAAACCATTAACAGTAAACATTTGGTCTCGATTTGTTGAAAAACTTTATTATAATAGAATTTTGTTYCACATTCTTTCAAAAATTAGGTCAAATGGTGGTATGATTTCTAATTTCCTTATAATACTTAATTCTAAGAAAGTTTTCAACATTACRAATGGTTAATTAGCAATACATTCTTACCAACCACATCAAGGCAGCCTTCGGTGGTTTTATGGCTCGATAGCCAACTAAAGAGGTCAGAGCCGTTAGGAGACCCGCCATTAAGCCAAGTATGCAATAAATCAAATGCAGATTCTGTACGGAGTCCATGAAGAGCGCGCTTAATAACACCATAATCAAACCGACGATCTGTAAACACACACATATATTATATTTTTGCATAAGGTTTTAAACATTAACGACGATTTCAAGTAATTAAAAAAATGTAGGTGAATGAGCAGTTAGATTGTTGGGAACGTGACGATAAGAAGTGTAAAAGTGTAAGCAAAAGAAAAACGTTTGCAAGTACGAGAAGACGGAGAAGACTCACTAGGCAAAGCGTGTTGGCGCACAAGTACATGTGCCTTATTAAGGGTGTTGCGAAAATCATTGCGTATTTGTTTACTTATTGCTRTTGTTGAACACTTTTTTCATTAATTTATTTATTTTTATTATATTTGCACTAATTGGGAGCGATCCGTATTTTTATCCAACTTTTATTTGTACTTTGTTTAATTTACTATTATTACATTCACTAAAATCGCTTTGCTTGTATTAAATCTATTTTCGAATTCCTATTTTCGGTGTAGTATAGGTTTGACGCGTGCCCATTTGCAATGAACTGAGACCGTCTGCCGATAGACGACGTCAAACTCATTCGCTGTGAAGCGCGCAAATCAACTAAAATAATTTTGCAGGGAATTCGCATAATACTTAACAACTGTATACATATACTTACATGCATATGTATATTCTTATGTACTTATGAGCAGACGGGATTTACAACGCACTGCCTGCCGATAACTCGAATAAGAATGCCTTTGTGGTATTTGTCAAAGACTGCGCAAAACTCTACACGCGGCATTGTAAACTTCAGAATAGAAAATTTTGCAAAAATGGTWTATCTCTTGATGGAAATGCAGTGCAGGTCCCCACGAACTTGGCGCATACTGTCGGTCTTCCAACTCCTGACGACTGTAACTGTGAAATCGGATTATGAGTAGGATTAGCTCTGAAGGATTTTGGTAAAACCCTGAGCATGTGGTTGCRGCATTTTGACACCTGAGTATGATGGGGTAACATTTATCAGAAATGGCTGACGGACTATTGTCGCAACCGCCCTCGTTCCATTAAAACCCTGAAACCCTGGTAGGCCGCAGAGTACGTTCCCCGCTGGCTCAAAAAAGTTAGGCCTGTTCGATCGCAGCAGGGAGGATGGTGCCATCTCCCGTTAGAATGGAAGAGAGTGGTGGTGGCACACTCCTCAGTCTTACTAAAGATAGTCAGAGGAAACCCCCAAAGGGTAAAAGTGCCGGATGGCACCGTGGGCTTCATAAGCTCATTATATGTGCCGATGAGCGATCAGCTGTTCTATATAAGAAGGCCGTTTCTCAAATGGGGGAGGTATGGAAGGGAGAAAGGCTGGAAGCTGTGGACAAACCACACTTTCTGCTTCATCCTATTGCTTACGGCTGGCTGCCAACTGAACCTTCCCCTGAAGAACCACATCGACATGCGCTGATTCTGTTAAATGTCGGAGTCCGTCGGTCCTCTGAAGGCAGAACTATTCAAGGCAGGGAGTATTTATTATCGGTCTCTTAGCAAATAAGGGTTAAGAAAGAACTTTTTAAATAAAAATCATTTGTAGACAAAATTTTCACTTAATTTTGCAACCTAAAATATATATTTATATACAAGTACACTCGTATATTTATGTACCGCATTAACGAGTCCATATTGACTGAAGAAAAGAAACATATCTTTCAGACAACAATAAACAGAGACCAGATGCACTATGAACGATGAATCATTAACTAAGTCGACAATACACATTTTTTTTACATATTTTACTGTTATATTTACGTGACTACACACATAACATGCATATGTTAGTGTAGTTTTTATCGGTTTTGTGACCAGACATTGAAGGAAAACCAACTTATATTCATAAGCAAAAATACGAAAATTCTGATAAGGGCAACTAATTACGTGCCGTATATATAAGTATGTACTTTGCGAGGTACAACAACACTTGATAAATCCGAACTTTAAGTTCACGATTAAAAGAACTGTCATGAACGAATTTTTGAAATAAGGAAATATACAGAAATTATATGAACTTTCATATTGAAGAAATAAATTAGCAAAATTTATTATGTTTTTTTCATTCTGCAAACTTTTTAAACTTCTGGAAACTCTCTTATTGCAAAATTTTGCACCAGTGTAGAATAGTATAATAATGTCTATATTCCGAACCAATAAAACTATAGTATATTCTCCAGACTAGACACGGAACCAATTTTTTCAAACCTGCTTACGATAGWGTGAAAATAGATGAAATCGACTGCTAACCCACCCGCTCACTCAACATAACGTTTTTTTTTGTCTCAACTACTTAACTATCGCGATAAATTAATAATCAAATGCCTCACGAGAAATTATTTATGTATAATACATAGGATGGTGAAGTGCCTTTGAAATGTTCCAGCTTTTGACCGAAAATAGTCCACATCGAACTGTTCAAGCACCTAGGCAACAAATATGTGGACCCCAGTGTCTTTAGCCGACTATTTACCAAAAATGTGTGAGACATTTAACTGAAATTAAGAGAGAATCCTTTTCTGATAATAGTATGTCTGAATGTCAAAAAGTTTCCTCGACTCCCTATATTACGCAAAGATTTTCGAACTTTCGGGTGAATTTATACCGCATATATCGCCCAATACGTGAGTTATCTCAATGAAATCGAAAGTGCAAACGACGCATTACACGGAAATATGAGTTAAAAACATTGGCCAAGTGTATTGGGTCCAAGAAGGATTACTTTAAGGGTAACGATATAGATTTTGAAGAACGAATTAAGAATCTTAAAATTAGAACAAAGTCTTACTATTTGCTGGTCATAGTAGTATTATTAGCAAAAATATTTAATATCGAGTCGAGACTACCCCCCAACTTCCATATTTTAGTGTAAAAATTTGCCCACACCTGAAGGAATTTCCCGGACTTTGATTCTTACAATTTGAAAGAGTTTAAAATATTCGGTTTCGCCCAAACTTAGCCATTCCTTGCTTGTTTGACTGAAATTTGTTCCATTTAAACCAAACTGTAACGAATTATTGATTCTCCCTCGTAAGTTGAGGGAATTGAAATATTTCTACTTCATAAAAACCATAGAAACAGAAAAAATAGGGCAGGATATACAAGTAGTATAGACATTCAAATGTATTCTATTTTTATAAAACATTGATGGCGCAAACTGATAAGAAATGAAACAAAAACAGGAAAAAATTTTAACTTCGGCTGCACCGAAGCTAATATACCCTTCACAGGTGTATTTCTTTTAGTAACTAATCTATACCAAATTTCGCGAATATTCCACGTCAAATGCGAAAGTTTTCCATATAAGAACTTTTTTCCAATCGTTCAGTTTGTATGGCAGCTATATGCTATAGTAAGCCGATATGAACAATTTCTTCGGAGATTACATTTTTGCCTTAGAAAATAACCTGTGCCAACTTTAGTGAAGATATATTGTCAAATGCAAAAGTTCTCTATACAAGAACTTGATTCCGATCGTTCAGTATAACAGCATTAAGCTATAGTAGTCCGATATCGGCAGTTCCGACAAATGAGCAGCTTCTTGAAGAAAAAATTATGTTTGCAAAATTTCAAAACGATATCTTGAAAACTGAGGCACTAGTTCATTTATATACAGACAGACAGACAGACAGACGGACATGGATAAATCGACTCAGCTCAACATAATGATCATTCTTATATATACTTTATAGGGTCTCCGACGCTTCCTTCTGGGTTTTACAAACTTCGTGACGAACTTAATATACCCTGTTCAGGGTATAACAAGAAAAAATGTTAACATCTTCTGCATCGATACTATAATACCCTTAACATGTGCATTTTACACGAAGGTGTGAAAAGATCTTTGTTTGCCTTTTGATCGATCAGTTTGTATGGCAACTATATTCTATGGTGTTCCGGTCTGAAAAAAATGTCGGAGATAATAATCTCTGCCAAATTTCTTGCGGATACTTCGTCAAATGATATAGCTTTCCATACAAGTTCTTTTTTGCGATCATTAAGTTTGTATGGCAACTATATGCTATAGTTGATTGATATTGGCGGCTTCTTGGGGAAAAGGACGTGTGTTAAATTTTATATCAATACCTCAAAACTGGGAGATTAGTTTCCGTATAAGCTAAATGACAGGCGATCATAGCTAAATCGACCAGCTATGAGATATCCGAAATTTTTTCTGCGTGTCAAAATTATTTTGTAGATCCTGTTTGGGATGACAAAGAACTGGACGAAGTAATCTCTATTTCCTTCATTATCTTTTTCCTAAGCTCAAAAATGACTGATTTATGGGGGTCAAAATGACGAAAGCGTAGTTTAAAATTCTCATAGATTCATACTGGAAACGTTGGCGGACCGTTACAGCAAATACATTACTCTAAATCAAAGCTACTCACGTCATAGCTCATTTGGTACACTTTGATTCTCAGCAACATCAGGCTCCGTTTGGCTGGTATATACATTAATTATAATATTTTTGAAGAGAAATAATGCAAACAATTTGACATGCGCTGTCGCCGCATGTCTTGCGGTGGATCACAAAAATCGATCATCATTCATTCGCTGCCGACTGATATTAGCTCTCGTTCAAACGTATTTGGTGTGTTGTCAAACCTGTCATTGCTTTCATATAGGGTCTGTAGAAATATACATATGTAAATTTGATGCGAAGTACTTTTGTCATTACGGAAGCTATGTATGCTGAATTTCTATCTACAATATAGTATATAATGATATTATAGAAATTAAAAATATAATATCGAATAATAAAGCCATCATTTGATTCCAAAGATTTTTTGTCATTGGTAAGCCAAAGGCTTTTCAATGGTACCATTTTGCGGCAGATTTCATATGTATGTCAAACTATTTCAAATATATTTTATTCCATAATTTTATAAATAATTTTTAATGATAAACATTATATTATAAATATTTATTTGGGTTATTTTATCTTACGCAACTATTTAGGTAATAAAAATAGCATGCTAGTAATTATATCTACGTGACTTTGTCAGCAACTTGCAGATAAGCAGTAGAGATATCAATATGCCTATGCCCTGTAAAGTACAAACAAAAGTAATAATATATTTAATATAAAATAATTATTAAATTTTTTTTTTTTTTTTTTTTTTTCAATTATGAATCTCACCTCAAAGCCAATAAGCAGCGAATGACCCAAACGCTCATAGCGATAAATGTTCATATAAGCACGCTTTAGYGCCACCATACAGCCTTCGCCATATGGATAAATGCTACGCAAGCCGCTCTGAGAACGATAACAAGTAAGCGGTATTTTCACATTGAGATTCACATAATCCAAACTACTCGAAACGCCACAACATTCATACTGTAAAAATACAAAGGAAAAATTATCTTTATTGTCTTATATGTTGATATATATAACTAAATCTCACAACTAACCGCCTCCTGTATGGGATCCATAGCGCCTTTYTTCACCAGCTCCGACATCCAGGCTGCAGTCAGCATTTTCTCTGTTGCAGCCATTTGTTTGTTCTCATTGTAACGGTATAACTTCCATATATGTGAAGCTATTATGGCGATTAGCATTGTGACATACTAAAATATCAACAAAATTAGTTGGGAATCGTTTTTTTTGTTTATGTGTAATCTACTCACACAACAGAGTATCCTAACGGATCCATTAATAGCGCCCAAACAGCCCACAAATGAGGAGAGCACCAATAAACTGACGGAAGCCAACTGTACAAGTTTCTCTCTATGCTCAGCTGAGCCCTCTGTGAATTTCTCCAATTCATATATGCAGGCGACCACTGAGAGTATGCCAATTATCTTTAGATAGATCAACATTTTTATTCGAGAAAATATATTCTTAATATAAATTGAGACAATTTCTTTAAGAATTAATCATATTTAGTATCATAAACGAGTTCAATCCCGGCACAGCAAATATAAAGAAGAAATTATATATCCACATGGAATAAAGTATCAACTTCAGTCTATTTTACCTTGATGTCCGCCAATTTGCAATGCGTAGAGTAATATAGCGTGCTTAGGGTAATTATAGAAGAGGGAAGCGAGATGCATTTGCAGACAAAAAAGAGAGAGACCTAAATGCGTGAGTACGAAGAGTTTGACAAGCAGGCCGACAAGGGAAATGCTCGAAGGTTTCAAGACAGGAGCATACTCTTGTAGAGAATTAGGTATCCCCGCAAAACTAACACGGCTGTGTAAACTGACGTTGATCAATACCAAAAATTCCTTCAGGATCGGGAAAGACCCCTCCGAGCCTTTCCATAACAAACGAGATTTCAGACAAGGCGACTAGCTATCGTGCGAATTCTTCAATCTACTCTTGGAGAAAATAATTCGAGCTGCAGATGTGATTCGAGATAGTACAATCTTATAAGAGTGTACAACTGCTAGTGTACGCCGATGACATCTATCCATTAAAAATGTCACCTCAACAACCACGATGTTAGTTCTGCTTTCTCCAGGTTGGTTAAAGAAGCAAAACAAATGGGTCTGGTAGTGAACGAGGGCAAGACGAAATATCTGCTGTCATCAAACATACAGTCCACGCATTAGCGACTAGGCTCCCACGTCATTGTTGGGAGTCATAACTTCGAAGTCGTAGATTATTTCGTCTATCTTGGAACCAGTATTAATATCAACAACAATTTGCCAACAATAGAGCAATAGAGAAGTAAAGTCCTCTCTCAACCAACTCTATAAGTTATTCATTATTCCCGTCCTACTATATGGTGCAGAGGCATGGACGATGACTTCATCTGATGAGTCGATGTTAAGGGGTCAGTAGGGTGACCTTTTTTCAATTTTTTTTCTTGCATTTTCTGTTAACTTATGCCCCTAGAATTAACGTAGAACCCCACTGGAACGTTTCGAAAAAGGCCCAAAATAATAATACCGCTCAACGTTCGAAGCGCTCGAAGTGCGCACCTCAAACTTTAAACGCTTTTTTCTAAAAACATACTTTTTTTTGAAGGTTTGCCTGGCTATCGTCCCTACTAAATTTATAATTTTTTGTAATTAACTGACAATGTTATGACAAATTTTATGTAAAAAAAAATTTAGAAAGTTAAAAAAAAAAAGAATTTTATTTATCAAAATTTTTTCATTATTCTAGTAGGGACGATAACCATTTACGTACTTTTTAAGAATAAATTGGGTTTTGTGTTTCATATGATCCAAACATGAGATCCGCAAGTGACAAAACGCATCTCATTCACCCAGCCATTTCTGAGACAGATGTTATCAAAATATTCCGAAAAAATTTTGTTTATACACTCCACGATATACCTCATGATATGTGAACAAAGTTCTATTGTAGAATAAAAATTTCTATGAAAAAAAATGTCAAAAAAACGGACAAGATTACCCTACTGACCCCATAAGAGTTTTCGACAGAAAGGTTCTGCGGAAGATGTATGGCTTCGGTATGTATTTTAGCTACTGTGCAATCACAACTACAGCGTTTTCTTGTTTTTACTTATTTAACAACAATTATTTTTCACAGTTAGCATTTATTTTCGCAAAAACTCAAATTTATTTGCAACGATGTATATACAGTCGATATTTTACGTGTGTGGGCATTCAATAATTAAGTTCACACATTACTCATACGACATGGTAGTCCACAATATCCTACTTATCGTTGGAGAAAAACGACATTGAATGATTTATTGTTTGCTATACTTTTAGGAAATTGGTATTAGCACTTGCAGATTCTAAGTGAAAACAAGTTTTTGTTTAATGACAAATGTATATATACATATATTATATCAAAGTAAAGGTTGAATAATTTAGGTTACGTATACGCCATGTTACATATAATGAAAGTGCGTCTGAACACCCAAAGCAGGTGGTTGAAAAAAGAAGTGCCACCCATAAATTTTTAAGCACAATTTCTTCAAAATTAAATTTAAAAGAGTATGCCAATTTTTATATAAAAGTGTTGTAAATCAAAAATATTTTTTAATTGTTTAGTTATTAGTTCAACATGAAAAATTAGCTCTAAAGTTATTAGTTTAATAGATATAATAATTAATGGAGCATTTGAGATATTTTACCGTTCAAATAACCTTGTATTCGTCCTACTTATAGCGAAACCAAAAAAAAAAATTGCATACAACGTTTTTCAGCCAATGAAATTATGTGCGTCATAAAAAATGGAAACAAGCTAAATGATAAGAAATTAAACCGAGAACAACAATGAAAAATAAAATTAATTTCGTGCGATTAATATTAGAGTATATGAGTATGTATGTGAGTAAAAATCGTAAATTAGCTTAAAATATATGAGAACACATGCTTGTAAATACATATTTATGTATACATTATGCATATATATAATACTTTGTATATGGATTCGTATACATGTCTTGCCCACATTATTTATTTATGTGTTTGTATTTTTATATATGTCTGCAGTGTGACAACTTGACATTGTCTAGTTAAAAACATATTTTTCATTTTCCACGCACAATAAAAGGTGTCAAAAACATGAAAGAGCATTTTGAGCATCCACCGAAAAAACCGAAACTCATGGCGATCAACTATTAAACTGTAATGCCATTTTAACTATATGCAAAAAAATATGTATCTATGAAGATATTGTAGTTAAAAAATAGTGGATTCGTGGCAGATTAATAAATATTCATGGGAGCATACATATATATAAGGGTGGCTGTTATTTCTCAAGCGGTTTTTGTTTTGCAAACGGCGCTGAAGTTTCAGGTTTTGACCTTAAAATGAAAGTTATGCATCAAATATATAGAGCATACAAGTGCCTTATAAGCTCGATGTTACTCATACGCCATGTAAACCAAGGTATATAACACTAGTTTACGGTCATTTTAGTACTATGATGTTAGAGTCTGTTTCATGCTAATTTTGGGTTGCTGAAACCGCAAATGATAGTAAACATTTTCTAACATATATAATTTTTTGTGCTGTAGTCAAGGCGTGTAGAGGTCAAACAACCACCATTTGCTAAAATGACAAACATAGCTGTACGCGATGAAAAATTTTTGAACTCAAATTAGTAATCAAATACCCCACAGAAATCTTAGCACATCAGTAGCAAATTTGTCCATCATATTTGTTGAGTAAGTAATTTTTGAAAGAAACGAAATTATAATTTTTCGTAGAGTTTAATATTTCATTTAAAAATACAGTGTGATTGCAACATTAAAAGATAAGTTGGCATCAAATTTCGAGAAATATTTTTTTTTTGTGCAGAATGAAATAAAAATCTCAAAATGTTTGGATATTTGAATTGTTCAGATACATTTTTTGGTTACGAGAATGTACAAACATAAGTATATATTTTTTTATTAACAATAATTTTTCCATATAACTTTTTTTATAGAGCTCTCAGTTTTTTCGGCAGCTTTTAACCTTTAAAGAATATAATCATATCCCTCCAATTCTTCTTCCCGACTTCAAGTCACCCGTACATAATTTTTCCTTTAATTTCTCTTGCTTCATCTTTCACGTGCAATGGTTTTCAACCCACTATGAATTTCTTTAATTTTTTACCATTTTCGTTTTGTTCTGGTCGAATGCCTTTTTTTTTTAAGAGCAAAGCTTTTTTTATTCATAACGGACACCCTAATGTAGTATATCCACAATTATTTAAGTATGTGAAGCTAAAAAGAAATATCCTCTGATTTATTATTGACCACAAAATCACAAGGCTACCGTATTACTGCCAGATATTAACAATAAGAATGAAAAACAAGTATGAAAGGGTTAATTTCGGTTGCAACCAAACATTTAATATACGCGTAGTCTTCAGAGATCAAAGTCCGGGTTATATTTTCAAGTGTTGCCCAAAGTTTATATTAAACAAGCTATGACGGGCGTACAATCACATTTGAAATCATTTGTATTACCGAATGACATAAATCAAATTACATTCTTAGTTAATTCAATTCAGGTGTCTTAAATTTCGATAATTACGATAAGTTCAATCAAAGTTACAAAAATTAAAATAGTGGCAATGAGGCAAAAGTAAATGATGCTAATGATCAGATCAGATCAGGGTTTAAACCGATTTCGATCATATTCAGCTAGTGCCAAAGAAAGCACAAAGTCTCTTCTAAATATCGTACATATCGACCTAAGCAAACTGTTTGAATTAAACTAGAAAATTGGTAGTCACTATATTAGGAATGTTTATGGTCGCTAGGAGCAGTATATTATCCGATTTTATTCATCATTACATTGCATCATGATTACAAAAAKTTTGAAAATCCACATATTAGATATATAGAGCTGAAGAAAGTATGCATCCTCTTATGAACATTTTCAACCAAGGGAAAAACAAATACCATATAAGGAAAGAAGCTTTATGAATTTCATTAACATAACACATATATTGACCGGCATATGTGTTACAAAGTCAAACGGAACTACGAAATTCGATATTAGAGAGCTACGAAAACTATTGACCCGATTTTGCCGAYTTTTGATGTACGAGCATATTTTAATCAGGAAAAAATGCTCTTTGAATTACATTAATATATCTCACAGATTGGCCGATTTTTTTCCGTAAAATATCAGACATAAAAATGAGAACCACTTGTTGCTATTTGTCAAATTGAAAATTTAATATCCGATTTTGGCTGATGCCTTGGTTCGTGTGCTTAAATTTGGAGAATCAGATGAAATTTAGAATTGAAACTTGACAGCAATATAGTAAAAAGACGTGGTTGAAGTCCGATTTCACCCATTTTTCGACGTATGAATATTAACATACTAATACTAATATAATTTTGCTCAAGTAATCGCTGAGGCGGGCATTTCARCTCATCTCGTTRTCCGTATACACATAACTCTATATCTATCACGATCAGTTTTAGGTGTTACAAACAACCATTAGGTAATCGAGATAGATATAGRGTYATATTTACATATATAAATGATCAGGATGACGAGACGAGTTGAAATCCGGGTGAATGAAAGGTGGGCGTAATCGAACTTCTGTCACACCATCAAAACGTCATTAACCGAAAACAATATACAATAATTTRGTACAGAGGATCCCAGTAGCCCGGGGCAAACTGTGGACAAACAATTTTGTAAATCGTAAACGATCAAATTCGCCAAGAGAAAAACTGCAAGAACTACCAACGTGAGAAAATTTATGAAATCGGAGCATAACCGCGCTCACTCTATGAGATTTATAATTGAAACTCAGGGATAATTTTTTCCTGACAATAGTAACTCTGTGTAAAAAAAATGGTTTCAATCGGTTCAATACTTTCCTGAGCTTCAATATACCTTATATAAAAATATTTTGGAACTTCCCAATGACTTTATACTGTATATATCAGCCAATATTTGAGTTATCTCAATGAAAATTGCAAAGTGTATTTTACTCATAACAGTGACCTAGCCCCCATTTAACTATTTACACTTTCGAACATTCGGCTGACTTTACTCCATATGATTGGTGATTGTATATGAGKTACTTTAATGAAACCAAGGGAACATTTTTTAGTACTTTTAGTCGTGATAATAGTTAATAGATAAAAACAGGATGATATACTCCATATAAAAATATATTATTCATATATTCWTTTGCTCTTTTGTTTCACTTTATTTCAATGAGATCACAAGAAATTAATATAAAATTATGGAAGACATATCCATAAAATATTTTTTCACAAAATACTACTTATATAAAAAGATTATAACTACATATTTTTCTATCTGTAGTAAACCTCTAACCCACCAAACTCAGCGTGTTGAACACGATCACAGTCCATTGCAGACAAGATCTGCTAAAAGCCATTGTTAACGGCATATTTGCACCTTATTATTTTAGAATTATTTGCATAAAACTTTCGAATTTTTTTAATTTTTTCTTTTTTAATATATAAAATAATGAATTCTAGGCGTTGATTCTGCCACTATTAAGGCCTTTTTCACAAACACAATTTATTTCCAGAACGCACGAGGTGCTTGCGGCACCTTTAAAGACAAACAACAAACTGTCACATTGAAAGCGATTTCAGATTTTCAAAACACTTGCATTTTCAAAAAATTTCGAACAACAAAGTCTCATTGATGTGTGAAACGTGCCACTTTGTGTATTTGTATGTATGTGTGTGCGCATAAATTGGCGTGTGATGAGTGTGTTGTTGTTGAGTCTYATGTCTTAGCATAATCATATTCATAAATTTTTGGTATATATATGTTTTCCATACCCCGCCTCCTCACACCAAATTCTGACTACAGACCCACTGACGTGACACACGTTCGCCTCTTATGCGTTTATTAGCCAGCGAAAGTGGGCGACGCTGATGGATATATGTACATATGTTTGTTCTCATCTRCTTTGGAGGCGCAGAAAGGCGCGAAAATTTCACGGTCACAATTGAAATTGCCAAATAAAAAGGCTCATCACTTCTGCTGCTGCTGGTCCGGTCTGTGTGCTTTGTTTATGTATATTTTGTSTTTTGTTTTTTATTTATACTCTATTTTCTATTTTTATATTAGATATATATATCAGTCACAATGTATTTATTTTTAAACAAATTTCATTAGCTTTTAAATATATGGACTTAGTTGAATTCATTTGGTTTTCCAAATCTCATTGTATTTATACAACTAGACACTTGTTAAGCACWCTGTCAGGACCGTTATAGCGAAAAATTGCACTCAAGCTGATGGATTTCATGAGCATTTAGGTCAAGTCGCTGGATTTGTTAAAGTATTCATCATGCTATTCATAAGAACCATGTATACATGTATGCTATACATCTGCGAATTGTTATTGTTACTAAATAAATTCTAAATGAATTATATACATTAATTTTTAATTACTTTATAAAATCTCAAGATATTTACTAATAAAAGGTGAAACATTTCGAGTTTCCCTACTTAGAAAACATAGAAACTTCAAAATTGATGGAGAATGTTTGTTATCATTCGAGAGGACATTCTTTGGCATTTAGCTTCAGTTTGAAGCATCAAGAAGTCGGTTATCATGGCGCGATAATGGTCGCCATTGATGGTTACGTTCTCACCGGCATCATTTTTAAAGAAATATGTATCATTTGACGCAGAGATGTTAAATTCAAAGTGTACAAAAGTGCAAGCTACTTGACCTTCTCAAGCGGCATTGCTTCACTCTATGGACTCTTGAAAAGTTGCGAGAAGTTTGAGAGTCAAAATTTGTTCAGTGATGAGGGCCCACTTCTGGCAAAACCACGGTTTGGTGTCATGATTCCACCGGACCATATTTCTTCAAAATTGAAATTGAAGCTCATGATCTTGGCGACCTAAGGTTTCAACAAGAGGGCGTCACTTCACACACATCGCATCAATCAATGATTTATTGGAAGAACACTTCAGTGATCAGATGATTTCACGTTTTAGGCTGRTCGAAAGGCCACCAATATTGTGTGATATCACACCGTTTGACTATTTTCTGTGGGGATATGTAATGTCTAAAAGTCTATACGGACGCCTTGGAGAGCAAAACATCACGCGTCTTATTCGCCAGTTACCAACCATCTGCTAAGGTAKCAGGCAATCTAATCTACGTGATTTTTCTCAGCAAACATGTTTGGCATGTGGGCATAGGGAAGTCGCCAAAGAAGTAGCAAAAAAATATGGATTAAATCTCATAGGATATATAGAATATTCTGTCGGGAGCTCTCCATCAACTTCACCTTCACACTAATAGATCAATGCAGGTTTATTTCAAGCAGGAAACTACTTCATTATCGGACATGTATAGGTACCGGTTGTCACAGCGGGAKCGCTGGAAACTGCAAAGCCGATGAACGTGCTAGAAAGAATACCGTGCACTCAACCATCTTCTACTACTGAATCAGTGGACTTCACGTGATCCCAGTAAGGTCAACCATCAATATTTGTGCCGCTGCGAGAACTTCGTAGCCTAAAGTGGAACTTAAGAGACCCTTTAAAGTACTTGTAGCAGGTAATTGTCCTTAGCAAGATTTTCTCGGGGCAATTGTAGGAACTCTGACTACTTGCTAGGCATTTTTTTTCCTATTTTCACCCCTTTCAAACAAGGAAATGTAATCCTCTTGATAGATATAATACCTTCAGCGCGCCTAGTGAATTGGACTAGATATTACCGCAAGATTAAGAAATTTGGTAGGCTTAAACCCTTCACCGGATCTTTTGTATGAGTTCTCTTAGTCTTAACGGCCGCCTTCTGCCAATGTGGATGACAGATTCATAAGAGTTTTGTTGGAATTAAGCTCTATAGCTCCCTCTTTTATTTATATCTTTTATAATTTTATCTTTAGGGAATGCAAATCTGATATTAYTTATAAAACWRTATTATRTATACATACATATATTACCTATATTATGCACAGAATTAAAGAACKCTTATATCATATTGAATATTTCGCAAGAGATGGAAATATGTAGTTTCTTCGAGCTGGAAGTAATGTTGTGGTAAGAGATTTTTTAAATGAAGAACACCAATGTCAAATTAAGAAAATGTTATGTTATATACTGCTGCGAACTTTATCCAGGTTTTGAACCCATTCCCACTACACTCATCTAATACTCACACCATAAAAGTAGCTTCTTTAAAACTTTCACGTGCCAATTTATTGAAATCAAATCTCCAATTACGTGTCTACGTATATGTATGTATATACTTTGGTATACCTGTTTATTACTTCTTTAATATTATATATAATCTAACATTGTACATTGGCATACTACGTAAAATCGGGTGTATATTTGTATAAAAAAAATATTATAAAAAGCTTTCCACCAAATACTTATATTATAATACATATTATTATGCAACATGTGTACAACAACAATTCGATTTTCATATGCTGAACAAATGAACTAATCAAATTTGTGTTACAAACGGGTAACCCTGGAATGGCAGAATTGTTTTCTCCAATAGCAGAGCTTTACTGCAGGGCTTCCAGCTGCGAACCAGATTTAATTATTTTTCTATATATATTTTTTTTTCGTTTTGAGAGTTTATGGTCACTTAGTGAATAATTTCAGGTATCCAATGAATTCATCATTTTCAAACAATTATTTTATCTACTTATGTGTTAATAAACGCACACTTGAAGCTTTTCCTGTAGATCATTAGTTGTCTACGAATTGATCTCTTCTTCTTTTATGGCGTATAGTAATACCCATTAGCCCAGAGAAGAACAAAGCAAGTACCTTAAGAAAAGAAAAATAATAATTCTCAYATAATTCGTTCGTGTAAAATGTATATATTAATAACAGTTTACAGAACTTTCTTCTGATATTGGCACAACTTCATCGACCTTAAAATACTCACCTCAAAACCAAATAGCGTCAGTTTTATCGCCAATCCAGTGCTGCCACTCTTTCGGGCCATCTCTTGTAGCACCGTGAGACAGCTCTCTGTATACAGATCACTTTCGGTACCAGAAAAGTTTCGGTAACAGTTTCTCGGTATGCGTTTATCCAATTTGACATAATCCGCTTTACCCAATCTACCACAGCATTTGTACTGGAAAGGAAATTAAAATATACATATTTAGTGGAAAAGTACTACTATCTAGGTCTTTATATATTATTGAGAGGCAACCTGTTGCTCMACTTGTGCAATTTCGGCAGCATTTAATGTGACATTACTCCATAATTGATCCAAATGATCAGTTGTGTTCTGAACGTAGTCGGTGAYGCCGGCAACAGTGATCAAATAAATTTGGAATATGACTAAGATCAACATACATATTACRTACTAGAAGAGAGAAGAAGATAGAAAATAGTTAACTCTTTCACTCTCTAACAAGAAAATACAAATATTTTGTTTATTAATTTTAAAGCTTCTACTTTGTTTTGGATAGCAGCTTATCTCACACTTATCCATAGTATTTAATTGGAACAAATTCAATATACTTAAATAAAAATAGATTCTTAGACACCTCAGGGAAAGTGTCTTTAAATATAAGCTCTTAATTGTAAGCGCCGTTTACTTTTTCTTTTTTTTTTCAGATAAAAATTCAAATCACGCCTCGAAGTATTTAAACAGTATTTGGTTTCAGAAATTTTGTACAATATTGCATGCTCTTCRAAAAAGCTATTAATAAAAATACGCCAGAGACATTAAAATTTACACCCAAGATTGAATGAAAAAGCTTTGTAGGAACCAAAAATTGTCCAACCTATGACCAAATGTGTGAACCCCTGCAACTATAATCAATGTCAATGTCTAAGATATAATATATAATTAAGATTCAGAAAGAATACATTCTTGATAATAGTATCTCTGTGTATCAAAAATGGGTTCAATCGGGTCAAATATACCTAATATAAAAATTTTTGAACTTCCAGGTGAGTTTATCCTAATCGATGAATGCATGATTTATATATAGAATATATGAAATTGCGAGGGCATCAATTTTGGAAACACTAAAAMGTCACGCACAAGTCATAACAGGGGACAGGTCTGGGAAATATTGTAGCTGCGGCATCGTCAATGTTTGTTGTGTACCAAATATAAATAAATGCCCACTTTTTTCTTCTCAAAATCAAAGAAACAAAATAAAAAAAGAAAAATGGCTGAAAATAATCAAACTTCAACCGATAAAACTTTTTTTTTTTTTTGGGAGCATTAATTTACTAACTATTTTTTCAAGTTGTTAGAAGAGAGATTTTACGTCGTCTACCTATTTTCTAGTAAACGGCCGATAACCATTCCGTTACAACTAATATTTCAGACTTTCTTAGAGGTGTCTAAGAACCTATTTCTAGAGTACCGAGCGAAAAAATACCCACTTTACAACTTATAGCTACCCTCCCTATAGCTTCTTACAACAAACAATAGTGCTACAAAAGCATAAAACTTAAGATGTCTTGAATTACGTCAGAACCTTTTGCGAAAAGATATTTTAATAAGATCCTTGCATAAATATTTATGATAATATAGATTACCACTCATCAAAACATTCTGCCACTTTTAAAATAATAAAAAAGTTTAATATAATATTGCATTACTGTAGAATATAACCTCATCGTAAACGAGTTTACGATTTGAWAAGTTAAGGTTAGCCAGCCACAAATGCATACTTACACTCCACGTTAGCCCCAACGACTCGCGACACAGACCAAAGCAACCCAAGAATGATGTTAGCACGACAAACGAACCAATAAATATTTGTATTACGATCGAAATGTGTTGCATAGTTCCAGGCGTTGAGGTGTTCAACTCATAAACGGAAAGCGCAATTAAGCCAATGCCAAGCAGCTGTGTAACAAAAGAGAGTTAAGCAATCATTAGTCGAAACCACACACACTCTACAGTTAGTGGAGGAARTTATAATAAGGTTACTCATACGCACCGGCAGCAATGTGTTGACAACAGCCAGCACGGCTTTTAATAAGGAGATTTTCAATGCCATTGTTAATTATAGTACAAAAATTATGAACTGTTATTGAAATTGCGTATATTTCGTTTGTTTTCGTGACAGCACTTTTAAGTGCTCCACCGAAGCGCCTTTCGTTTAATTTAGTTGGTGGAAATTTCGTTATGCGTTTTCATTTGTGGTGATATTTGTGCGTTCAAATGTTTTGTTGTCTAACTAAAATCAATATATTGTATGTGTGTCTGAATGCAATGTTTGTTTATAAGCATGCATTTTTTATTGTTTAGAAAATAATACTTTCTATTCTTCAATCACTTAAATCAACTGAAAACTTTTCACAAGCAAATTAATTAACACATTTAATTATCGCTTGTACGCTCATTCAAAATTTTAATTAATTTATATTATTTTCACTTTAATCAACAGYTTTCTCTACACACGCAACACACTTCCTGCACAAACCGTTGTCCGCTTACAACTAAACTGTCAATTTGTCAACACTTTCGCTGAACTGCTTCACTTTCGTCCGCTTGGTTAGCTCACACTACGGCAGACAGCCCACCATAGGGCGCCCACAGCTAAGGAAGCACTTTATGCCGTATTTCCGCTTTAATATTTTTTTTGACGCACACATTCAAACAAATAATTGCTGACTAGCCCTTATTTTCCATGCTAAAGCAGCTTTCAATTCAATAAACTGCGTCTRAAATATGCTTGTCTTATTTGTCATAGTTGTTATTGTAATCAGCTTTTCGTTTCTTTTTGGTCAACAATTCCTTTCGCTTGTTTTCAATATCCTGCCACAAACATTCAAGCATATACACACATACAAGCATGTGTGTGAATGGAAAATTCATTCACGTTTCACTCTACTAATGATGTCATGGTTTAAGCTTCGAAYCAGTTGGCGGACGTCATATTCCACTCGTTGTGGGCGCCTGTGAGCTTTTGCAATGCAGTTCGTAAAATTTTATCACTAAACTGTTGATTGGTCGTTCGTTGTTATGGAAATTCGAAGAATTTCGAAATAAGTTTTGAAAGTTTCTATGTCTGCTGTTTTTAATGAAATAGTTTAAAATAAATCTTGTACTTTTTCGATTTATATATAAATGATAGTATCTAAAAATGAACTAATTACTTATAATGTTTTTGGTTTCTTCAACCTTCGTTATTTTAGAAATTTAGTTCGTAATCTGTGAGATATCTTAATGAAATGCATTGAAATTTGTATATTTTGAAGCATTTCTAAAATATATAAATATATGTTTTTTTTTTTTATTTTGAGGCAAGATGTTTAGAAATATAGTTTCTTTATATAAGAATTGTTATACYTTTAAAATAATTGAGATGTTAGCGATCCTATCTTTTAAGTTGAATCGAACTGGGCAAAGTGTGCTCAATTTTATTTAATAGATTCAGTAGCTTAAGAGTTCACCATGGAAAAAACGAGACAAGCTATACATATATGTATATAAATACATTGTGTAAAAAAAGTACCTGGAAATTGTAATTAAATTCCCCAGGTAAATTGTATTTAAAAGAAATATATTTCGCTAGTTGGTAAGAATGTCCTCCATTACTATCCAAATATGAGCAGGAGCTTTCAACCACTTTTTTTACAGCAACTACTTAAGCGAGTACACCTCAGCTATACGGTGATTCAGTTTTATCAAAAGCACATGCCATGAATGGTACAAAGCCTTCAMGGAGTGCCGTGAGATCAGCGAAAAAATGCCTCGCTCTGGACGATCTGATGAAAATATTAAAGAAGTGAAGCATATCATGCTTGAAAATCGTCAAGAGTGTTGGACTAATGGCAAGAGCGCTAGACGTTTCTCGCGAGTTCATTCGAATGATTTTGGTGGATATTTCGGGTATMAAACGCATTTTTGCTCGACTCGTCCTGATAAAGCTAATTTTTTTTTTCAAAAATAGTACTCTAAACAGGATTACTTTGACTTGCTTGGCCGTGCGAATTCCAATCTCACACTTTTGGAGAGCATTATCACTGCCGATGGGACATGATGAGTTTGACATGCAAACAAGTCAACAATCATCGAAATGGAGGGAATAAGAAGAGCCAAAATCAAAAAATCCATGCAAAAGCCCTCTCAAAAATCAAGATGATGGTAATTGTTTTTTCTGATTTTCGTGGTTTGGAGCATCATGAACTTGTTCCGGAGCAAAAGGCGGTCAATAGAAAAATTCATGGATTTTACACGATTATAATGTATCATTATCGATTGTGTTTTAAAGCCAAAAACACAATAAACACCATCGATTAACCACAGTATTCAATAGATTTAGCTCCGTATAATTTTTTCTTATTTCCCAAACTGAAACATCTGCTGCGGTGAAACCGTTTTCAGTCGATCGAAGAGATAAAACAAGAGTCCCTGAAGGAGTGCCAACCTAAAACCTGCTATTAAAAATGGAATATTTTTCTTAACGAAATAACAGAAACCCGCTCTTATTATGTTTCTCATGCAGTTTTTTTAAATGTATAGTTTATCGATGAGACAATAGTATTTTCGGAGTTGAGCTTTTTAATAGCTTTTATTTGGTTCAGTTCAATTTGCAATGCCATTTCATAATGAACAGACCTACTTCGACGCAGCAACAACATTTGTARGTCATGCAAATTTATTACCAAAATAATGGTTCGGTTCGCGCGACACATGACGCGCTGTTTCGAATATTCGGTCGGCATATTCGACCAGCTGAGTCGGTGATTCAAGCAACGGCTCGTTACTGTAGAAATACTGCCCCAAATGCGTTAACGTCTGTGAAGCAATGCTTTCCCACTACCAGAATGACATGAAACGTGATATTACTAGCGATGAATATTGAATCTATGCCTACGACCCGGAAACAGACGATCAATCGGGCRAATATCGTGGCAAAGCTGAGCCGAAGCCGAAAAAACCATGTTCCAGTTTAAGTTATGTTAACAGTTTTTGTCGATTATTGAGCTGGAGCTTAGTCCGAATTTCTCCCGAACGGCCAAGCTGTCAACAATGAATACTATACAATGAACAGACAACTCTTGATTTTTGCAACACGATAATGCACCGTTGTTTACTGCATTGATTCTACATGTGGTTTTCGCCAAATTTCCAACCAATATCGTGCGCAGCCACCGTACTCGCCTGATTTAGCTTCGTGTGACTTCTGGCTATTCCGCAAATTCAAACAACCGCTTTGGTGAAACCGTTTTGAGTCAACTGAAGCCATTTAACGTGAAGCGCTACACGTATTGAAGTTATTCCGRAAATTCACTTTAATAATAGTTTTGAGGATTGGAAAAAACGTGAACGCAAGAGTATTGGGGTCAAAGGCGACGACATAGAWTTTAGAGAATAAATTAAGAATTTTAAAATTATGCAAAAKGKCTTACTATTTYTTRCTCATAGTCTTGACATGAAGTTTYTTGTACGGAGRGATGTTCTAGAAAAAATTTACAAATACTATTACCGTAGGAGGATTTTTTTTTAAATTAGTTCAAATATAATATATAATGCATATAAATTTGTTTTACTGTTCTTTSCGATTAAATCTAACCATTTAAGCTGACTCACTCCCCATCTGCCACRAACAACAAAGAAGAGTACACAAATGCAAACGCCCTGAATGCTCAATTATGTGCAACTACAATTCATTCGATTTATTTCAATTTTTAAGGTTGACTCCGTGCGCCAGACAGTTGCCGCGCTTCTAATCATCACTTGATTAGCGACGATATTTCGCATTCAATTTATGTGTGTCACTTACAAAGACGAATACACTCACACACTTACCTACATAGAAAAACAAAAAAACAAAAAAACATAGAAATGAATGAAGCGAAAGTTCAAGGCGAGTGTGCGTCATCGCAATCCAGAGCTCTTATAATCAACAAGTGGCTCCGACATTGTCTCCAACATTCTTGCGGCCGCTCTAACAWACAATATACAAACGTACATACATACACATGACATATATTAGAAGTTGTCTTGTTCGCGGCGCATTGTGCAAAAAGCATTTCGTCTCGCATAAGTGCACCTAAACTGTAGTGGATACGCACACACTCACACACTTTCTGCTCTTAAAATGGGCCATATTGTTGTGCAATCAAATCCTTATTTCTCGTGACATTGTTTAGGTTATGGTCTCGCTCAACAGTGATTCCCTTCAAAGCTTCAAAGCTCCCTTAACAACCAGTGGTTCATTAACTATGTCAGTAACAAGTGGCACTGCTGGAGTGGAAGACTTGAATTTCATCTTTAATTCATTTTAGTTAAGAATTATTGTTTTCAAAGATGTCCTTCATTTCATACAGGAAATGTTTCAGAAAAAAGTTTATACCACAAATCTTGAAATTAACTCTCAATTTTCCAATYCAAGTACTACTATAACTACTAATGGTTTTTTTATCTGAGTCCACAAATTTTTGTCATGTTTGTCTAAAATCCCAACGCCTGTAGCAAACTGCTCTCMTTAYAGTGTACAACTCAAMTCTACTTCAGTTGAAATATTACAATTTAATCTTGTCGCTAACACTCAAAAGCTACGAAGTTGACGGAAGAGATCCGTTAACTTTTTTAACAAAAAAACAGCATACTTCTTGGAATGGAAGTAATTTATGAATTTTTAACACAACGTTTTCAGAAAATACTATTACCACCATAACCTTTTCTCCTTTGGTACTCAAATGAATTGAAGTTTACTTGTTTTAACTTTAGTTCATTTGGCTTGAGTTGTACCTAATTTAATCTTATACAATAGGCTTACGCCTCTGCGAGGTAAATCAATGCAATCTGAGGATATTGTGAATGTGTTTACAAATGRGCACTAAAATTTACTACAAAAGTTCGGAGTCAGTGACCTCAACTTTAAGAGCGTCGAATTTATGGTCGCCATAATCATCCTGTCAGATCAATAATTGARMGTTTAGTGGAAACATTTTAMTTAACAGGCACAGTACAAAATGTTCCCGTGCCAGCGAGACAAAGAAGTGCCSGTAGTGTCGAGAATATTTTTGGCGCTAGCACACCAATTGAGGAAGACCCAAGTCTTTCAYACGTCGTTCTCAAGTGTTGGGCATMTCTGTGACGTCGTTGTGGCGAATTTTGCGAAAATATCTTGGCCTACATCCTTACAAGATCAAATTGACGCAGGAACTGAACCGCTTGGCCACCAGAATCGTCTTGGGTGATAAGGCTAAATGGCTGCRTCACTAAGCAAAATATGCMTTATTAGTTAGGCARCAATCCACACGTGCTCTATGAGTCACCATTACATCCCGAAAAACCTACGRTCTGCCGCACSAAATATGATCCAKCGGCGTCTYTGGGCCGTATTTCTTCCGTGATGATCAACATCGGCTCRTTATTGTAAATGGGAATCGCTACCTCTCAATGATCGWATATTTTYKACCTGAATCGGRTGATRTRKACTTRGGMAATATKTATTTCCAACAGGAMGGCACYACMAGCCACATTGRGAATGTCAARTTTGGGAAACGTGTTATCTTACGAAATGRCCCAGTCAATTGGCCACCTRGCTCYTGCGATTTGAMACCGTTAAACTATTTGATGTKRGTCTACGTGAACTCCGTAAGAATAATGAACATRAAATTGCAGCAGTATCAGCCGATTTATGCTTAAAATGGTTTTAGCGTTTGGTGGCCATGAAAAAAAAAACGGGTTTCCATTGACATCGAATGTACTTTCACAGGAACAAATAATTTCATTGTTATCTGAAATTGTCCCAACCCACCCAATTTTCTTGCTGACTATATCCTGCTTTTACACTTTTTGAAGTGGCTGATTTAGTAACTCCCGAAAATTCCGCGGGCCCTTCTTACGCTTGGCAACAATCTTCATCGACTARTACTTCATCTTTAAAGTCTTTTGTCCGCCCAGGATGTTGGTGGCAGATTCAGGGGGGACACACCTTTTTTTTGGAACCACCTTTGGTCGACGTCAAGAATAAACATAATGAGCGACTATCATACCCGAAACTGAGTGGCCACCGATCCCGATTTTTACATGAAAATTTTGTTCAACGATGAAGCTAACTTTTGGTTGAATGAATAAAATAATCAMACATAAAGTTGCGTTTGAAGTTATCCTCAAAAAGTCACTGTTTGGAGTGTCTATGAACACTTGAATTCATTTATCCATATTTCTTCAAATATGAAGCCAACCATAAATGTACAGTCAATGGGCAACACTATAGTGCCATGCTTAATAATTTCTTCGTGCCTTTGGTGGATGTTAATGTGGACAACCTTTGGTTCCACCAAGGCGACATCGAAGGCCATACCAACGCCAACGAAACAATCAATTGAAATACACTTTTTGTGAGTGGTTTATCTCGCGTCGTGAGCCTGTTGATATTCTCTAAGATCGTGCGATTTAAAACGGTTACGTGAAGTTGCTTGTCTATGCAGATAAGCGCGGGACGATAGATGCTTTGCAAGAGAATATTCGACGAGTTATTGCCTTTACAACTGCTGGTCACAAATACAACTGAAACAATTCGTTTGTCACAACCACCAACAACCCCACTGTGGATACCCGCAATAATATCTGAGTTAAAAGCAGAAATTTTACGCTGCATATCCGTACATTACGGTATGTAAATATGTTCTCTGGCTTTACTAATTTATGTGTGTTTCGCTTTATGTGACACCGTTGATTGATATATTTGTTTATTTATAAACACTGTGGCGATGCGTAGATATTTTGAAACGTTTTAAAAGACCTGAAAATGGACTCTGGGAATTTGTGTATGAACATATTTGCAAACAAGAGATATTAACTTTAGCAGCTTATAGCGGTTTGTTGTGCAAATATTTGAGAAAGCCATATTAAACTGTCTGTGATTTGCCACGGCGCGCACGTGGGCRTATACGTAACATTTTTATGGACACGTTCTGTGCAGGCGAATTATGGCAATATTTTATTTATAGATAACGCAATTGATTAAATAAATTCTTCATGCATACAAATTGGCCAATATTTGTAAATATTTAAATTAAGTTAGGTTTTAAAAATACTTTTTTTTTAATGTCACAAATTTAGATTATACAATTTTGGGCATGAAAATCCTATTTTTTGTTTTAAAATATTAATGTTTGGGATCTCTACAATTTTTTAAAAATATCATTTGTGAAAAGTTAATTCTCTCATTGATTTACTGTTATCTACCATTCAATATTGACGAGTTCACGAACCTCACAAACAAAAATTATTAATGGCTCATGGAGAACAAAGCAGAAAAATTCGTCTTCAAATCGGTCACAAAACTAACTCTCTTGTTGTTATTCGTTCATTTTTAAACGCTATATGAATGCCTCTTTTATTGTAGTTAAAATAAAAAAATACGACATTCTTTACATTTTAAAATATTATTAAAATTTTTGAAATTTATTTTCTTTCTCAGATTTAATACTCAACATTTCCTTCTGATGACGACCACTGCAAACTCATTTAGGATTACGATATAAAACGCAGAATAGCTTTCATGAACAAGTGCTATTTTGAACTGAGTAGGCAATTGCGAAGTAAACTTCTCTCTCGASGAACAAAGACCAAACTCTGAAATTCAGTCATTATTCCTGCCTTGCTGTATGATGCAGAGGCATGGACGATGACAATATCTAATGAGTCGACGCTTCGAGCGAAATGGATCAAAACACTCCAACTCTGAGAGCGCTGTTTTAAACTCGACATTAACCGAGTAAACGAAAGAAGAAAATCAACCATTTGCCTTACTTCACCTTCATGTAAATATCTCATTTTTGGATTTGTATCAGACGAGTTCCTAGGATAACTGTTCATTTCGAAGATTATCCCAGTATACTTTTTTTGTATCGATATTTTTTACTAAGTATATGTACTGATTAAAAATTGAAAATGGAGTGCAAACTGGAATGTATTGCTCAGAGCTGGTACTTAGGCGACCCGTAAGTCTTCCGGAATACTACAGTATCTCCTGGGCGGAAGTCTTTCCGAAACAACATAAATAAGATGAATATATACTTCCATAGGCAGATTGGAATTAGGGCGATAATCTTACATAGCATCAGCACCATATAATGTACTTAGAAGCAGTGAGGCGAACGAATTAGCTGTTAAGATCGCAACCCAACCAGTACAGGAGATACATAAACTACTTAAAACGATATATATATATAAGAAATTTCCGAAAAGGCTGACAGAGGGATTATGGGTCAGATGGAAAGCCATAAGGACAAGCAAGAGAGTCCGAATAGAAATACGCATTATTTTTACTCAGATAGTCTCAAAACGACATAAGTAACGGAGTTACATGCAGAAAGTGCAGGGAAGTAGGCATGAGAGATATGCTTGAACACCTCCCATGCTTCAGTTCAGCCTTAGCTAGAACCCGTCTTAGATATCTCAACAATTCCCGTGACTAGATGAAATGTCAAAATTAAGTATCAGAACGCTTTTAAAGTTGGCAAAAAGCGTTGACGTTTGGCATGACGAATACTTCAGTTGAATTAAGCTCCACCTCCATCTGACATCACTGAAGACCTAACTACATGTCTAGTAAAGCCTAAAGTAGCGAAATTCAGTACCTTTTTCCTTACCTCCAGATAAAAATGATCAAAGTAGATCGTTTTTGACAACTCTTAACTACTGGCTTAACTGCTTAGTCCAGATACATATAATTTGGAAAAGCATACTTTATGGTGTCCTTTATATGAGCATCTATCATAGCTTTAATTACTAAATATCTTAATAAACTCTTAATTACACATTATTATTATTTTTTTAATATAATCGATTACTTTGTAGCAATATCAATGAGTATTGAATACAATAAATACACAACAACAAATAAATTACAATAATTGCACAAATAGAAAGGCAATTTCTTCAAGCAGAATACGAGTATTATTTGCGCAACATCAATCGCATTATTCGAGACGTTCAAGTTAAATTTGTACTGTACCACAGCCAGCGCTGCCACACTTTAGAACTGCATGCGTCTTTGTTTATTGCGGAAATTGATGACCAAAAATACGGCCAGCAAAAAGCCAATTATCTGCGGGTGAATAAATAAAATCAAATTAAAATAAATATTTATGTATAAGAATTATGGCTCTCGCACCTCAATGGCTGCAATTATCCATGACGACACAGCGATGCTCGTGGTCTCGCTGTCGTAGTATCGCTGCAACTTGGCGCTGCAACCTTCGGTGTAAATATTATTTGCATCCGCATCGTTTTGACCCTCATAGCAGCTGAGCGGTATTTGACGATTCAATAATATATAATCCTGCGAGCTATCTTTGCCACAGCACTCATACTCTCGCTGTAAAGCGTCGATTTTGTCGTGATCCCAGGCATCTTCCACGATAGCTATGCCGCTCTGCGTGTGACGATCGTTCAAGATGTTGATAGTAACGGCGATTTGCAGAATTGCCAACAGCAGCAAGAAAACGGCGCACTAAAAATAGAATTGATGTAATAACTGTTTTTGAATTTTAAACTAGCATGACACTTACGGTCACTGTGAGGCAAATTGACTCACGCAGCGCTGCCACACAGCCTATAACGGCGAACACTATGACTAAGCCGAAGATGATGTATGCCGGTATGTCCCAGTCGTCTGGCACCGAACCCGGATTGACGGCGATCAGCACAATGGCGGCAATGCTAAAAAGCTGCAAGCGAAAAGTAATCAAATTAGTTTTCAGCGTTTCGGTAATGAAATTAAATGGAATATTTTCTGTGAAGTCTTTAATGGCATTTAAATATATGTAAATGGTGTATATGTTGAATTTCTTGTTGGGTTGAAAACAAGGTTGTCATTTTGGTGACATAATAATTCTCCGTATATAACTTAAAGTACTGGGCAGACTAGTTTTGAAAACTTGGTATGTTTGCATATTTTAATAATTATGAATCAATTATTCGAGCTTTTTAGACGTTATTGCCTAAAAATCAGCTTAGATCAGATAATCGAATTAGCAAATTCTATTTAATAAAAGAAAACCAACTACAAAGGTGATCAAATATTTGTGGTTACATAGTCAAGTTCTGTCTCAACAAAATTACCCAGAGTGAAACAGTGATGATGCTATGGTTATTCAAATCGAGATTAGACGCACGTGTATTTGGATACACCTAATCAACATAGAAAATTTTAGACGCATTGCTTTTTTCTTTTTCAACGATAGTCTCCTCTAACAAACACTGCAAGCCCGCAAAGAAGGGAGCATAGTAATGAGATTATCTCAACCGGCTCTTCAAATATTTAGAAAATCTCAACCCACTCAGTCAGCAGTTAAAAAATGTAAACGAGCAAAAACATTAAATTCGGTTGCACCGAAGCTATACTCGTAATACAAAATGTTCCTTACAAGCTCTTGTTTAAGATCGTTTAATCGCAGTTTTGCCCGAAGCAAAAAAAAAGTTTTCCATTCAAAAACTTGATTTGAGCGTTCAGTTTATTTGGCAGCTATATTAAATCTGACCAATTTCATTGCAGATTACATTCCTTCCTTAGTCATGGTTTAGCGATATTTCGTGAAGATATCTCGTCTCTCATTATGCTTTCAGTATACTGGCCTTGGTAACGTCTCTAAAATTCCATTATATATTGATGGAAACTTTCCCTTTTTTTCGAATATGCTCTCATATTATCTTTAAATTTATATAAAAGAAAATTTAAAATTTGCGTCTTTAGAGACATTCTACATTCAATGCTGAGGAATTTCTTAATCATGTCAGTGATCAGTTCGTCGAATATTTTCAGCGGTAGTGAGTAGCATCTTTTCTAATATCCCACAGGTAAGATAATAGCAGTCTCCCATAACTTCCCACTTGTCTTCCGCCTTTAATAGCATTTTAATATTGTCGTAATAATTCTTTGAGATATACGGAATGGAATAGATGGAAATTTGTTTACATTGTGTAGCAAAACAGCTTTTAGACTTTTTGTTGAGCTAACAATAAAAACGTGTCATTCAGTTGTATGACAAGAATACAGATTTCTTTAAATAAGACTTACACGTCATGATGAAAACAGAGGCCATTAGAACTCACAAAATTCCACTGTTCCAAGCGCGATACCAATAACTCTGCCTTTTTGTATAGGTTAAAATCTGTTATGTATTGAAGTCTTCAGAGTTGGTAAGACGTTGCACTTTTGGTTCAGATTCCAGAGCGAATTCGGGATCGATGCCAAGGTCGACATTATATGGTCGCGAAAAAAAATTGACACGTGCTATAGTTTCTTTACAAGTAAATATTTCCGATTTGTAATCGTTTTTTTTTCAAGATATATATACTTAAAAAGGTGATCCAAGTAAAAAGCAATTTTTCGATAGATTTATTGAGAGAACACTTCGGTGAGCAGATAATTTCAAGTTTTAGGCCAGTYCATTGGCCACCAAGATCGTGTGATATAACACCGTTAGACTTTTTTATGTGGGGATATGTAAAGTCTAAAGTTTACGCAGACAATCCCGCTTCGATTCAGGCCTTGGAGTAATACATCATACGTATCATTAGCCAGTTACCAGTCGAAATGCAGGAACGAGTAATCGAATATTGGACTCAACGGATAGACCATCTGAGACGCAGTAACGCCCAACATTTGAAAGAGATAATCTTTAAGGAGTCAGTTGGTCAGTTTTACATTTTTTTTTTTCATTTTCTTTAAACGCTTTTTTCTCAAAACACACTTTTTTTAAACTGGCGGACATGATTCCAGTCGAACTACTCAACCGATTTGCTTATTTTTCATGAAAAATCGTGTCCGCGATTGAAAAAACGCATCTCATTCACTGCCGGACACGATTTTTCATGTTTGGATCATCTAAAATACAAAACCCCCATCAGCCATTTCTCCGACAGATGTTTTCAAAAAATACCGAAAAAATTTTTTTATACACTCCACGATCTCCCTCATGACATGTGAAAAAAGTTCTATTGTAGAATAACAATTTCTATGAAAAAAATGTCAAAAAAACAGGCCACTGACCCCTTAATGCCAAAGAACGTTATTTCGAATGATAATAAACATTCTTCATTACAATTGAAGCTTCAGTAGTTTTTCTTTAAAAAGTATGGAACCTCTAAATGGATTACACTAAAATAAAATTTTCTGTTGCCCTGTGTAATTAAAAATCAAGCTCTGATGGCTAAAATACGTAGATCGTAGATCGAAGTAGAACACATATGTACGCGTATGCCTGTAGTTTCTCAAAGTTTATGCGAGAAATTTCTAATTTACAAGAATATATTCATACTTGTATTTAGAACAAATCTTTTTATGAAATGGTCGAGAGTACAAGGTATTTGTTACCATAGTATAGCCTCAACCAAATTTTTTCAGTAGTACTATTTTCAATAATCCCTATCCATTTGCGTACCGAACTCCTTGGCTTGAAAGTGAAAGTAAAGGTAGGACTTCTGTGTCTTAGAAAACATTAGATCAAGCATATTTTTTTGAAGATCAGKATAATTCAATTAATTTTTTTAATTAACGTCGAAATTGATGAATATTTCAGAGTTTATAGATATTAAGAATGACTTTAAGCAAATTTAAAATAATTGATTACCTTGATGWTGTTAAAACTAATACCCTTCATTGTTGCAGCAAAAAAGATTGTAACTACGTAAGAAATAGAAACAGCCTTGAATTTTTTGATCATAATGAAGCGTAWTTTTTGATAGATTTATAAAATTCCTTAAAATTTAGATTAGAAAAACATAAATATAATATTTGTGAAGAAAAAATTTCGAGTTTTTATCAAACATTTTCAGTTAAAAAACCTGAATATTTGTTCGACTTTTGAGATATGTATATTTGTTACTAAAAATTKTTAATTCTAATTAGATATGCTAGTCGATTTACTGTTGACCTAGATATTGTATCGAGAGTGTAAAAATATTTTTTACAATGGCAGGAAATTTATAAATGCAATCAAAATTATCCTTTTCACAAAAGTATATAACAATTAGTACATAGCAAATTAACTCAATTCACCACTCAAAAACTAGTTCACCAGTTTATCATATATACATGTATACGAGTGCATATAGGTATGTATWTAAGAGAACTATCAAGCGGCTACAGCTGGAAAGAACAGTTGTTCATTTTTCCCATTTTTCCACAGCACTTAAATATATAATTACCAAGTGAGCGAAAGAACGTTAATAATTTACTATATCAGTATCTGCTAGAGAATTATCCAACAGCTGACAATTTGTTAAAACTGTTGGATCCATTTAATATAGTGCATCAAAGTAAASTCCACCGCAACATTTAATAAYTACTTTCATTTATGTATGAGAGTTYCCCGGAATAGCTTCTCGTCTATTTAAGAACCACTCTTCAGGTATAAAATCTTAACGTAAACCTTTGGTTACATTTTATAACGTTTTAACGCAAAGATATCGATCGAAAATTTCTATATGTTATTTTTAAACCTGTATAACCTGTAGAAATAAAAAAAAAATCGATTTCTAAGTATTTGGAAAGAAATACTAAAACTAACTCTATTAAGGCTACATGTCATATTACTAGGTTTTCCAATRATATGATTTCTAATAATCGTCCACTTGTGGTCGGTCTACGTCGAATTGTTGAAAATTTCGAGGGTAAGTTTTCTTTACATAATGTTCAAATGCCAATAAGGCAAAGAAGCGCCCGAAGAAATGAAAATATTGCTACCGTTCTGACAACTGAATTGCTGAAGACCGGAAGTTGTGGATTCCAAGACGTTCTCAAGAATTGGGACTGTCTCAAATCACAGCTTGGCGGATTTTGAGAAAGGATTTGGGCTTGTATAAAATGGTTCTCACTCAAGAATTGAAGTCACTGGACCACCACCGTAAACGTTGAGAATTAACTGATTTTTATTTGCAACAACTAGGAAACGATAACAATTTTTTTAAGAAAATCACCTTCTCCGATGAGGCTCACTTTTATTTGACAAAACTGACGATTTCGGTGCGAAGAAAATCCACAAAATTTACAAGAACAACCATTACATTCACCTAAATTGTCAATTTGGGGTGATTTTGGGTCTGGTGGAATCATCGGTTCGAAATGAAGCTAGTGGCACAGTTACTGTCAATGAAAAGCGGTAAAGCTCGATGACAAACAACTTTTTATGGGCGCAATTAAAAAAAGTTGATCTTGACAACATTTGGTTACAACAAGACGGGTCTATGTACCACACAGTAGGAGATTTGWGTATTTCAAAAATTTGTGACATTGAATGGCCTCCAAGWAGTTGTGATTTAACACCATTAGACTACTTCTTATGAGTCTATTTGAAGTCATTGGTCTTTAGCAATAAACCAGATTCTCTTCAAGCTTTAGAAGTCAATACTGAAAGTGCTATTCATGACAAACGGCTTGATTTTGTAAAAAAAAAGTACTCGAAAATTGGGTTCATCGAAATCGTGCCMGTAAAAGAAGTCGTGGAGGCCATTTGAATGAAGTTATATTTAGAACTTAATTGTACCTTACAATAGGTCAAAAATTATAGAAATCCAAACTGCAGCAATTTTGCTCCATTACTATTTTTGGTTCGCATTTGACAGGTATGACGTCATAAAAGTTAAGAAATCAAAGAAAGAATCTTACAGATATTGTTTTGTTTTTAAGTTTTATAAAATTGTTTACGTTTTTTTTTTTACAATTTACATGCAACTTAATAGCTTTTCTAAGTAGCATCTTCTCTTTCTTCTGTATAAGACATTGCATGTCGTAGTCTTGTCTCTATAAGTGCGCGCATGAAGCATTTAATTCAATAAGTTTTCCAATTAAGCGGAATTTTTTTGATGAAACGAAATGTGGAACTCAACGAATATCAGTTAATTAATTTCACAACAAACTAAAAAAGTATAGCATTGGAAATTCTCTAATAGACCACTAATTGTCAAACCAAAATTAAACTAATTATTAACTTTTWAGTCCATTGAAATAAATAAACAATGGATTCCAATAAGTCAAATTATATTCCGCTATATTGGCCAGTGAGAATTTCATGACATTTCATTGATTGGAAGTGAAGTTATTGTGTTTTATGTGTCAGTATGTTTGTGTTATCGATGCGAAAGTGAGCTTCGAACAATGACGTTTGTGCCGTTGCCTTGAAAAATAACCCATGCTAAATTTTATGAAAATTTGTCGAGATATAGACAAAYAAAAATGTTTTCCATACAAGTACTTTAYTCYGATYGTTCAGTTTTTATGCCCCATGTCGTTGGCTCCGTCAAATGATCGGCTTATTGGGGACTAGGTCTCGTATATACAGACAGAGGGAGAGATGAATATTTATATAAGTATGTTATATGGTATCCGACGTTTCCCTTCGAGTATTAAAAATATCGTGGCAAACTTCACCCTGCCACCCTGTTCAGAGAAGAAGGTTTCCTGTAGTATACAAAAAAAGAGCATGTGAAATGACACCAAAAGTACAGTTTTTCCGAACTATAGTGAAAATACAGTTGTCACTTGAATTACAGCTCGAAAATTTTCACACACTCACATGCACACACACAAGCATATAACAATAAATAAGCCACAATTACATGAATTGGGTAGAATTGGATTGCTGCGCAATAAAGTTACGTCTAGCGCGGCAAGAAGCGCACCGATAGTGGCGTTAGAAGGTAAGACGMTTACAAATTTGTATTAAACTATATTTTTTGTCGTGGAATGGGAGGCGCCAAAGTCAACTTTGTCATATTTCTCACTGTCTACGTAGTATACATTTATGTTTGGGTGAGTATGTGTTGGCAGAAAATTCTAGTAAATAACGGTAAATAGGTCAATGGTGGTGYGGTTAACAAGTTGGTGGTGTCTGCGGGCAAATGTTGACAAGTGAGACTGGTGGTAGTTGTGACGGTTTTTGTACACGTAATCCTATGAATGGCGATTGAGTTATGTTTGKTGCTGTATGCTTTACATTTAGTTGATTTTTGTAGTTTTATTATTTACTTTTGGCGTCCAAATACGTATGTGAGAACACAAACTATTAGTAAACAAACACCAACTGATGTGTCTCTTTGAACTTCAACGAATGAGACAATGAAAAAATTGTGCAAAAATAAAAAGATCATRACACATAACATTACCGCAAATTTTTCTATATTAATATAGTTTTCCGTACGATTATAAATATAATATGTATATATCGTATGTGRTTCCAGATCGTATAGCTGTGGTTAGCCATGCCTAAACAAATTTTGTACTTTTGTGCAYATTTAATTAAAACACACAATGGAGTCAATCATAATAACAGATACATATATGTATGTATAKATTTTAATAAATTATACTGAATGAGTTGTTTAAAGATCAAACAAAAAATGAAAACGTGATTAACCTTTGTCTATGTTAATTTATGTTAACTTTTTGTTATATAGGCAGCATTAAAAGCGAGCTTTACCATATACATATATCATTCATCTGCGCTCAACATACACGACGTGAGACCTTGATACTACAAAAAACATACATATAATGTTTTAAGCTTTGGATATATTTTTTGACAATTTCCAAAAATCAAAAACAAAAAAAAAACGTTAACTGCGGCTGCATCGAAGCTATAATACCCTTCACAGGTGCATTTATTATATTATAAAGGGCATAAAGAGATGTTTAACTTGGTTTTGCTCGGTCAGTTTGTAAGGCAGCATTATGCTATCGTGGTCCGATATCGGCAAATGAGCAGTCTATTGACCTAAGAAKKACATGTGCAAAATTTCAGAACAATATCTCTTAATCTGCCTTTTCAAACGGACCAAGCTAAATCGACTCAACTCGTGACGCTGATMAAATATATTCTATTAGTTCTAATTTGTCAAATTCTCATTCAGAATTTTCGATTTTAATTTAAATTAGAATACATAACAAGCCTTTGTGAAAAACATATAAAATCTGTTCAAAAACATGTGATAATAGTGTTTTACAAAATCTAGTAATATTTCAAAGTCGTCCAATCTCGATAAGTTTATAAAATAAAATCTTATATCTCAAAAATTGTTTGTACTTGTATAGTGTCTACAATAAAGGGTTATCCATTTCGAGATATCCTACTTTTTAAAAGAAAAAACCTAGAAACTTCAAATTTAATGGAGAATGCTTATTATCATTCAAAAGAACATTCTTTGGGATTTACTTTTTGAAGATTATCTCTTTCAAATGTTGACCGCTGTTACGTCTCAGATGTTTCAATTTTCGATGACTCGTCCGAGCGTTTCGACTGGTAACTGGCGAATGATACGCGTAATATTTTGTTCCAATGCCTGAATCGAAGCGGGATTGTCGCCATAGACTCAAGACTTTACATATACCTACAAAGTCTAACGGTGTGAGTGCTGGCTCTCAAGACGTGTGATGTTGTAACGAATAGTACGCTCAGTAGGCCGATTATGTTGACCATAAGTTGAGTGAAGGGCACGAAACACATTCTTTACAGAACTTGAGTTTTCGTAATAAACTTGAAGTATTTGTAAACGTTRTTTAGTCGTAAGCCTTTAAATGCCAGACTCTACTATGTATCAAGGGCATCCGATACAAACATTTTCGATGAGTGGTTAAGATATTATTATAAAATATCTTTAATACAATTTCAATAGCCTCCATTACATAAAAAAACGAATTTGAGAACTAACTTGTTAAATTCTGGTAATTTTCGGGATGATATTTGATGGTTGGTATCTTTTCCCGGTTACCAACTAACCTCATTGACTCTAACAAAACCTTTGGTTTACAATTTCTTAGAATATTTATCGAATAGTTCCAGCTACTTCAGGCTGGTTTATTCCCAAGAAGTAATAGTTTCTTAAAGACTCTGTATTACTTTAGAATTTCTACCATAAATTTGAGAAGAAAGTAAATCCGATCGAAAGCTTACTAACGATGCCAGTACCCAGCAGTTGTTACAGCGGTATTCGATTCGGTAAGAGTGCGACGGCAGCGAATAGAACAAACAACTTGCATGATTCACATTAATCGCCATATTCATAAACACTAAATAGTAGCTTATAGTAATGCACTGAATTCAAGTGTATGAATTTTTTATTACAAATTGTGTTTCCAACAATGTTGCGAAGTTTCTTAGAGTCTATTTACTAACTCTTTAAATTTTATTTCGTGGAGTAAAATGTTGTGGCTTCATATAGTGGATCAGGTAATCTGCTAACTAGTATTTGAAAATAAGGTGATATACATGAGAATTAACTACCTACATTAGAGTCRTTACCACTACACATCACAAGGATACCTAGCACTCTTTCGATCAATACTAGAAACAGAACAGAAAAAACATAAAACAGTATTTTTTTTTATAGCTGTCGCCCTGGGCAGGCAATGACAAACACATGCCAGTTATCATCAAATCATTCTGACWTCAAAAATATTTTCTTATTATAACCATTAACCAATCGTTGTAGGCTTAAACCTTCTAACTAATTTGTCAAAACTCGTTTTTTTATGACACATACTTTCTAAATAGTTTCGTATTAACCCAGTGTACACTATTACGAACTTGTAATTCATTCATACTCAAGGGTGTTTACTGGGTTTGGAAACGAGCTCAAACGGGTATGTGGAATGCTTGACGCTTGGCTTAGTTCATTGCAACGGATCTTTTCCTTAGTACGGAATGTGAGATTGTCTTTTGTTCTTTAATAAGATATCTCTCTAACCTATTTTTCTTTGATTTTCTGATCACTTTTGTCTCTTCTTCAAATTGTTTTTATGATCTCATGTTGCGACTCTTTCGAATGAGTATTCAGYGGTGTTTCTAAACGTTCCCTCCAGGTAAAATTTTTAATTATTTTCGAGTTATTTGTCCAACATTTACTAGYCAAAAATCTACTTACGGCCAAGCCAAGTAAACTTTATAACATTTAATAYCAAAAGTTAGAGTTTATACCAAAAAGAAATATATGTGCACATATACATAGGTAAAAAATCTCGTTTGTCGCCCCAAATCCGTAAAGTCACTATTGCTTAGTAAAATTTCAATTTAATTTAGTCTTCATTTCATTACCAATGGCTATTCGTTTTTTATAGCTTTTTTACTTTTGAGKTGACGACCATGACATCATAATACAAACCAACCCGCAGCACCAATCACAGTCATAACAGTACAATGTTACAAAAAAATAATACAACAACAGCACAAAGTCAACAAACTTACCGCCAAAAGTGTGTTTAAGAGAATCGAAGATATTTTTACGGTAGTTGTAGCGCAGCCCATTTTTCACCTTTAGTGGCTTACTAGTGGACCCTTGTTTATTTATTTTACGATTTTATTAGGTTTGTATGTTTCCACTATATATTTGTTTATATACTTTGCAGTTTATTTATTTTTCCAACAAGGTTTGCTTTTGAAAAATCACCACAAGCAGTTAACAGCTGTTAAAAGCTCACAAATAATTTTAATTTTTTTTTTTTTTGAATTCCACAAAATATCGGTGCAGTCAAATTGCTTGCAACGCCACTTGCTGCTCGAAAATTAAATATGAACTGCAAACACACATATGCTTTGTGTTAATTAAACAGGCTCATAAAATTCACCGCAATTTTCCACAAATTTTGCTCTATTTTTTTTCCTTTTTCTAAATTAAGTTGTCTCAAATGCGGCGTCGTTTGCGTGGGTGTTTTGGCGAGCTCTTCAGTAGACGTAGGCGATGCTCCGATTAATTAAAATGCCGTTTATTACTGCTGCTCTCAAAATGTTTTGAGTTCTTGAGAAATATATTTATAAAAATTTTACTTCTCAAATTTTAATTTTTAATTAATAGAAATATTTTACGAGCATTTAATGTAAATAAATGTATATATAAAACCGCTTTTCACTTTCTTATTTCCGTTCTTCACGACTTTCACTTGGAGTAAAAAATGTCTCGAAACTTTTTCGTTACACGTTCAAACGCCGACTGATATAAAAGTTCACGAATATGCTTCATTGAAGTCGGCGTGGTCGCTGCCGCCACCGCCACTGCCAGTGCCACCGCTGCTCTTGGTGTTACTGTGGTTGTTGCCGCTGTTGTCACTGTGACTCGCCATGGCATTGTTGTTTTTTCCTATAACACTTGCCGCGCATTCAATTTTTCTTTAGCTCAGCGACTATGCCGCCTGCCGCGCGCCGTCGACGCCAACGCTGAAGTCATCATTCGCTTCGCTCGAACGCGTCCATTACGTTCATTCTATTCTATGCCATGCGTACTGTGATGACGTCACTTTGACACTGCGACTCTAAACAGATGCCATTAATACACATGTAGCGCTTGCTCACCAACTGGGCAATACCTTCGTTGTGTTGGTCGGGGCATTGCGGAGGGGCGTTGGGCTAATTATGAAAACAGCAGCACTTCGATCTTACTCAGGGTTAAATACATACATACAAACAAACTAGCGCTAACATAAATAAATACTATAGCTTTGTGCGTATGTATAAACAGTATATACATACATACAAATGTATGTCAAGTCATAGGTGTGGACAAATATGTATATGCATGCTTTTAAAATTTGCTGTTTTCGTTTTCAAAATATAATATTGTTATTGTTTTTTAGTACATCGTTGCCATGAGAAACGATCAAATTCTTATATAATATATATGCAGAGACCCAACAGGAAATTTACAGTATTTAGTGGCATAACTTCGCTTATTTTTCGAATCTGTGTTAAAACAACATCATGATGAGATCATGAGCTTAATTTAAAAATGAARCAGCTTTGACAGTTTTATAGAGTATTTAGTAAAACTTGTTTTCCATTTTATCATACGATGTGATGTCATGTGATGTGATCAGATGTAATGTTATGTTGACATTTGTGCGTGACCTTGTGCGATATAATAAGCTGCCGTTGGAAGTGATGTGATGGAACGTGATGATGAATCATGATGTGATATGAAGTGAAGCGATATACAATCATACAATTTTAAGTAGTCTGTATATGATGTGCTAAGAAATTATAAGTAATTGTGATTTAAGCCATAGCGGTTTTCTATGAACCTTAATAAAAACTCTTATGGGTAAAATCCGGAGAATATGATGGGTGCATCAGCATTTCATAATGCAATTGAATAAATTTGTGGGAACGGTGAAGCTGTGATCTTATGTATTYTCATGGTGAAAGAGCACTATTTCCATAAAATAAAGTAATAAATCGATAATAGTAAAGCACTGTGATCTTACGAAACTAAGAATATCGTGGCCATATATATTCCAGATGAGATCTACTAATTCTAATGTTCCTTAAGCTTTATTGTATGCCGCTGAAGCCATGCTTTGTCTACGGTTACGAAACAAATACTGCTGTAAGGTAGAAGCATTCATTTGGTTTCCGATCTTCGCTTTTTCCTACTTTTCGCAAATCTGCGGATAGATCCGACTTCGAGAGTAGTCATCTATATCTATGCTATACCATCTTCGCCATCTTACGGTAAGAATAAGTACTTATTGAACCACCCTGAACGCGATTATTGGACAGTAATTATATTCGTACTATCTCGGTTCCTTATGAAGCCAACAACTAAATAAATTTCCATTTGGATCTGTCTAATTATTAAATTTGGAAACCTTTTTTTAAGTTTAAAAATTTCTAAAATACATCGCTAATAATAGGGTAGAATGAATTAAGGAGACTGAGAGCGGAATGCCTACAAATAATTTCACAAAATTCCATACAAATCGACATTAGTGTTTGTGGTTTACTATTTATTTTTTGGAACAGAAAAGCATATACAAATTAATTGTTATGGTTTTATTATTTTCGATTTTACTTGATCAATTGCCAAACTAACAAACTCATTGCCCATTAGGGTGGTACTTATCTCTATTTAAAACTACGATATATGTAGCTATTTATGTATTTTATGTAATAAAATGAAAGAAATTAAATTAAAACTTGATCTGTCTCTAAAGCAAAAGCATGGATGAGATACCCCCACCTTTTCGTATAAGGTTAAAGTGCTTAAACCAGGCAAGTGGTAATCCATCCAGACCTTCGTTTGTGACAGGGATTCGGATTCTTAAGGCTCTAATATCGCAGACGGTAGCTCTGTCCAAAAGGCTGGGAAGCGCTCCGGGGCTGCTAGATACGCAGCGCGCAACAGCGAATACTGGTAGCTGRAATCTGCCTGCAGGACAGCGAGATAAARTGGAATGGTACGTCGAAAGTAGGCCTTCAATTGTGAATTAATTCCGTGAAAGACGTTGCATTCGCTTCTTGGCAGAGGGTTTTCCGGAGCTACGCAGAAGGTCCCTAGCCCCCCGAAGGCCTACATCTTCGTTAGGGTCAAGGTGGCTGTAAAGTTCACGACCGTCATCGCTCACAATGTCTAAGGCAGAACACTTGGGAACCCAGTCGACAAGTTCGAGGATGTTGAAATGTGGGAATTCTCCCCCAATAGGAAGCATGTCAAAACAGGAATGTGAGACCGACATGAAAATGGACAGACTCCTGAAAAGCCCAACATTAAGTAGATAATTGTTAATCACGCAGATTAAGGGGACAGCCTGCTTTAGAGGCTTAAAATATCGATTTTTATTAGGGATTTTTTTGAGAAGGAAAGAAATATTTGATTAAAGCGAAATTTCTAGAGTTTATAGTTATATATTTAAGCATCATTCACAAGTTTTTGGATAGAAAATCTTTGATATTTTGCCTTTGGAAAACAATTGCCCGATGCATTTCACATGTGCATTTGTCGGACGGCGGCCAGAATGCAGGTCGCAATTTCTATCGGAAACAAAATACTCAACGATATTCATATTTTCTAATAATTTATCTTCTGGTTAAACTAAGAAAATTCCAAAAAAAAGTGTAAAATTTTATAAATTTTTTTAAAGTTRAAAAAATATTCCCCCTCTAGCTTAGAAAATATTTCGCATTCACATCTATAAGTTTGGGGACATATTCCTTAGATAATTTTTAAAGAGATTTGAGTAAACAAATCTATTTTTTTAGCTTTTAGTAAAGCATGCTCCCCTTTAAGTTCCACCGAAGTAGCGTGGCATTCACAAACCTGGTTGACAGACTAGAAAAATATAAGTTTACCTTAACCCAGGAATCCAGTACCTATGAATGCCGGGATAACTGGACTTAGCTCTTACCACATTAATGCCAAGTCACATTTTAACCTTTAACTACTCCCCGTATTCACCTGATATGGCACCGTGCGACTTCTTCCTTTTCGGAAAAATGCATTTGCCCATGAGAGGAAAGCGTTATGCAGACGTAGGGGCCATTCAAAAGGCTTGCACCGACATACTGGCGGCCACACCGGCCAATGAGCTAAAACACTGGTTCGACATGTTTTTGGACCGTGCAAAAAGCTGTATTGAAGCAGAAGAAGACTATTTTGAATAAAATAAATTGATTTTGATGAAAGAAAAAAAATTTGTTCTGTTTTTTTGTTTTAAGTCTGGTTTACTTTGTAACGCACCTTGTATGATGCCTTTTTCCGGCGTTGCAGGAGGCAAAAGTTATCTTCATACCAAAACAGGAAAAGAAAAACTACTCCTTACCAAAATCTTACAGACCGATCAGTATAATATCCTTCCTACTCAGAAGTATGGAAAGGATTTGCGACAATCTCATCAAACTACAAATTCCACCCAACCGTTTGAAGTTCAAACAGCAGGCATACGTCGAAGGGAAATCAGTTGTCAAAATTTGGTTTTAGTTAATCTTAGGCGATTACTTACTCATCATCAATAAATATTTACCCAGCAAATTTTACCTTGAGATCACAGAACCTGAAAAACTACGAATATCAATTCATCAAAGGTTTCTACCATTTTCATTGATTTGCGACACGATGGKTTGCCTGGTATACATATACTTAAGTACATATATACAAATGTTTTTCATTGTAGCAATCCTTTTGACCACAAAGCTTTTTTATTCTTCAAATTAGACCGCGCTTTGTCCATCAAATATTCCAATAATAGTGTAATAGTATAATGGATTTTACTATACCAATTAATYGATGAAAATTATTRCATTCGAATCCAGATTCCATAACTKTTTTAACTGACTGTTGCTTATTTTCACGCTTTGGATTCAATCATCATSTGTTGTTCACTCTAAATATGCACTAAATATAATAAAGTACCAAAAAGTATATTATTATTTTCTTGGAAAAATATCAATTGAAGATACATTCTAGTAACGGCATTTGCACATGGGAAATACCTGTGGTTACTAAACGAAGTGATCTAATTGTTATGGAATCTTAACGAAGGTAAATGAGTTGGCTGATATTTCACTGTATGAAAATAGAATACAAATATTTAAATTTACGATCGAGTTTTTTCATGAAAATATGGCTTGATTCTTCGATTTACATTGTGACAAAAAGTACCCGGATTTTTATAGTTCTCGAAAGTTCTCTTTTCTTAAGAAATTTTTGGGATGACCTATAGCTCCTTCACCGAATTTTGTTTTACCGCTTCGATCGACTGAAAAAGGATTCCACGAAGCGGCAGTTGCTATTTGGGAAATAATATAAAAGCACATGTAGCCAAATCTGGTGAATACAGTGGTTGGWCGATGATATTCATTGCGATTTGGYTTTGAATTCCGTCAAATCGTRCCTACTCTTTTTRAAAARAAATCAGCTTTATCGGGAGCAGTCGAGCAAAAAAGCGTTTCATACCCAAATTTCCACCAAAATCATTCGATCAGACTCGCAAGTCYATGTCTATAACACATGCCTAACGTTTTTCAAGYACCATATCCTTCACATTTTTAATATTTTCTTCCGTCTTCAAATTTAATTACAATTTCCGGGTGCTTTTTTGCAGMAATGTATGCATATATTAATGCATTTATGGATTTACGGCACATAAAAATATGTGTGGGTATGTATATGACATATTCGAACGCTCAAAAATTAAGTGGAAACCGAAAGTGAAGAATTCAACCACACAAA